ATATATATATATGTGTGTGTGTGACTACCGCTGTATATCATACATATGAGTGCCTATGCGTGTAATGCATGCATCACTGGATTATGCATGGATGTGCGTACACATGCATGTTGCGCGTCAATGCATACACGGATGAATATCTACTCATGCATGCATGTACGTATGCACCTACGCATGTAGGAAATGCCATGCCCTGTCCTGTCGTGTCCTGCCCAGTCCTCTAATGTAGCGTAACATACCGTAATGAAATGTACAAGCGTATGTTCGTACGTATGTGCATTCGTACATAAGTATGTATAAGTATGTACGGATGGACGGATGGATACGTATGCACACACGTATGTATGCATGTGTGTGAGTGCGAACGTGGGCATGCATGCATGCATGCGGATAGAAGACAAGGATGACTGTTCAGAACCGAACGATTTTTATGTTTTCTCCGTTTAGCTGAGACGGGCTGCCTTGTTTCTTCAAACTATTGCAGACTACTCGGTAGACACCCATGCAGAAGTAAAAACAGAATCGGTGTTGGGGTGCAGGTTAATCTTCACACATGTCACAGACGAGCACAAAGGAAGTACAACTTCGTATGGGCGAAGGTGTTAAACATCGCAAATGACAATATTTGCCATCCTTAGAGGAAAGCGTACGAAAACAGAAGACTGTAGAGGAACGGGCGGCAAGACGGGTGATCGCGGGAGGTTGACGATATTTGTGCTCGCGCATTAAGATCTACATGTGTCTACATATACATGTATATATATATATACGATGACGAAATGTACCACTGTTTATATGTGCACTGTGTGCATGTGTGTATATATGTATATATGTGTGCTTTGTTGTATATGTTGTTGTATGTACTTGCACTCTGGTACAGCTGTGTGTATTGAAACATGCATCGAAGTGCATATATATATATATACACACACGTATATATATATATATATATATTTATTTATTTATTTATTTATTTATTTATTCTTTTATTTACAGATATTCTGTAATATTAAGTACGCATACACATGTATCTCGGTAAACAAACATATAAGCATGTAGAAAAGTGTAATTATACCAATAGCCAATGTCTGCGTGTATACACCTAATTATTATGGTTGCATATGCAAGTTATATCAAGCTATAGCGAAGCTGCGGCGGCCCACCTGTGCCTCTGCGCGATTGCCAGGGCGGTCTCACCGTGGACGTTGCGTTGCTGTGCCTACTAACACCATGAGGCATGATATTATGAATCATGTTTGTTCGAAAACCCTGAGTTCGCATCTTGAAAATGCAATGTGCTGCTCCAACTGGCCTGTGCCCCGCAAAGTAGCAGAAGGTTCAGGCAGTCCAGCTGACCCAGCTCGGCAGCCTCTGGCAAAACTCATGGGGGAGATGTTTGAATATTTCTCGGGATCACAGCCAATGAAACCCAAAACCCCACCCTCTGAAACCCCGAAACGTGCAGATGTTTGCAACCGGTCCGGGTCGAGGCCTTCGGCCGTCTTCGCTTCGACTGCTTTGGCTTACAAGTTCTGGATTCGTTCAGTTTAAGTGGCTTTGGAATGCTCCCTCTCAATCCCAACTTGCTTGTCTTGGGGGTCTGGAGGCCATGTGGCCTGTTGGGACTTGCCCGGTTAGGAGAAGAAGTGCGATGCACTCCCTGAGCATCATAGATCGAGTCCCCCAGAAGCCATGCATTGCCCCTCTTCTCCTAGGTTTGGGGTTTGGGTTTTTTTTTTTTTTTGACCGGACCTTTTTCCTCCCTGCAGAGAGAAAAGTCTGTACGACTTAGGTCGACCCCTCATGAGCATA